TATATATATTGAGTGTTTTAATTTGGACATGGTCAGAGGTACATGTACCATACCATGTTTTCACTTTTATACAAATTTGATATATGGTTTTAATCAGAATAAGAATGTACTGGGTATTATGTTGCCCTGTTTTTCAACCATTGCTGCCACTTTGATGAATTGTTATGTAGAGAACACAAATTGGCAGCTATCATCTGTAAGAACTGTTGCTATGCAAAGAATAGTGTTCAAGATGGCGGCCATCTACACTTTTGTGAACCATTGCTATGCTTGTCCAAGAATATCACCAGATTTCTGCTGGATTTATTTAACTGTTGTTGTGTGCGATTGTTTTGAATAAATTTCATACACATCATTTGTGTGGCGCATAATAACAATATTACAGCCCGACTATTGCCGTTTGTGCCATACTGCAAGGAAAACATTTTCTCCGAGCCAATGATTTCCTGATATAATATGATAAATTAAGTTACATCTGGTCGAACGCAGTCAGTCAAAAATGCAACATTGAATGATTCATGAAGCATCTTTGGTTGTCCACCATTATAACTTTCGAACACCATAAATTTTCCCGCCAAAATTTTGGTTCGAAATTTTGTACACTTTTTATGTATTTTTCTTTGAATTCTTCAATATAATTTTGAATCAAATGTACATAATTTTTCACTGCGCACATTTTCTGATCAAAATTGTTGAAATATTCAAAAATATTTTTCAGGTTTAGTTTGTGAATTAATGTGAGAAAAATTGACTTTTCAAAAAGTTAATAATTCAATACTTTTGTCATGTCTTGCTCTCTCATGCTCTTAACGATATTACTTTAATTATGTTTTTTTCCAGAACATCAGTGGCTGACATAGCTGGCAAAAGAGTTGGGTTGTTTTCTTACGGTTCAGGATTAGCATCTTCCATGTATTCTATAAAGTTTTCAGAAGACACTGCACCAGGCTCCAAATTGTCCAAATTATCTGAGGTCTTATCAGATGTGACTGTTAGGTTAGATTCACGAAAGAAAACTACACCAAAAATATTTGCAGATACTATGAAGCTGAGACAAGATACTCATCATCTTGGTAAATATGTTTTTTATGATTTCTGCAGAAAATATGTAATTGTTATTTTTAATATTGTTAAGGGTGGTGGTCATTGCGCTACTTCCTGTTTGATATGGGACCCACACAACGCATGTAAAATATATGGATTGTTTACACAAATTTTCAAACACGCTCTGCACAGCGACCATTGCCCTTAAATATTTAATGATTATTAAACATTATAATAATCAAATTTTGACATTTTCAATAAATTTTTGATTATTCCTGATTATTTCTATCATTTTCTTTGATGATTTGATTGCATGACGCAAGCAAGACAGACATAATAGACATGGACACCAATAAAAGTGCATCTGAAAACAAATAACCACATCTTATTTCTTTACAGCTAACTACACACCAGTTGGTTGTATTGATGATCTGTTTCCTGGTACGTGGTATTTAACGCATGTAGATGAGATGCACCGTAGACAGTATCTCTGTACACCATTGCATGTGATCCCAGAGTCATTGCAATCTTCTGTCATTCCTGTGGTAAGTAACAAATGCAATAAAACACTTTGATGCAGGTACATGGTAGTATAGTGAATGTGACACAATGCATGAATTAGCAGAATCTAAAATTAAGATAAAATGCCACCAATCTCATTGTATGAATCGACTTTTGAATTTGAATTGCTGAATTTGCTTGAATTTTCTATTTCTTAAATTATCTAATTCTTGAATTAGGTACATCTTGAATTACCTACATCCTAAATTAACTATCGTAAGTAAATGGCTTTGTATGGTCTCACTGTCTTCACTTGAACAGAAACAATAGAGCTGCCAATTAGCGGCTCTGTTAATTGTGAACGATTTATAAAATGTGAATGTTTCAAAGAGCACTGTGTAAAAACTTGTCAATGGAAACACTAATAAATAAACCAATATGTTCCTAGTAAACAGAAGTTTTAAATAAGTGTTTTTAAATCAAAATCAGGGTATGCATTCAAAAGTTTTAAGTGCACTTTCTCCTAAAATGCATGATTTTAACCCAAAATTCACACCACTTAATATGGTATCATAGTACATTATTGTAAACCATAAAACTCAAAAGTTTAAATAAAACTCTTTCAAATGATATATAACTTGATGGGTAAAAAGTTTATTTTACTCGTGTAATTACAGTAATTAGAGCCAATTAAAAATATAGTCTCCCAACCTGCATCTCTACCTTAAATTACCTACATCTTAAATTAGCTACTTCTTAAATTACCTACATCTTGAATTAGCTACATTTTGAATTACCTACATCTTAAATTAGCTACTTCTTGAATTACCTACATCTTATATTAGCTAGTTCTTAAATTACCTACATCTTATATTAGCTAGTTCTTAAATTACCTACATCTTGAATTAGCTACATTTTGAATTACATTGTACCTACATCTTAAATTAGCTACATTTTGAATTACCTACATCTTAAATTAGCTACTTCTTAAATTACCTACATCTTGAATTAGCTACATTTTGAATTACCTACATCTTGAATTAGCTACATTTTAAATTACCTACATCTTGAAATGGCTACATTTTGAATTTCCTACATCTTAAATTAGCTACTTCTTAAATTACCTAGATCTTAAATTAGCTACTTCTTAAATTACTTACATCTTGAATTAGCTACATTTTGAATTACCTACATCTTGAATTAGCTACTTCTTAAATTACCTAGATCTTAAATTAGCTACTTCTTAAATTACTTACATCTTGAATTAGCTACATTTTGAATTATCTAATTCTTGTAGTGTAAGTTGACAGTCTCTTCAATGTCGTCAGCAGAGATTTTTGGATATCTTTCACCTTGTACTTAATCTCTTCTTTGTAGGAGACTGTGTCAGGCAAGAGACCTTCTTCAATACCATCACCAGAAGCAGCCCCTTCAAATTGTAAAATATAGAGATTAAATAGACACAAAATATGAAGAAATATCTCCACCGTTTTTTAATCTTTTCACCACCAATTCCTTCTTTTCATCACAAATTCACAAAATAGTCCTGTTTATACATGTGGTCTGCACTTTCCTTCAGAGAATTGGGACAAAAAATAGCCAAATTTTTTTCAGTAAAACCTGAAAATTTACACAAACTTTGCCTGTTGGCTCCAAAACTTGGGTTCATTTCAAGAAATATTGAAGAATAAAAAAACAAAAGTGCAGAATAATTTGGGTGAGAAAGTCTGGTGTTGAAATGGTTAAGAATAATAATTGTTTAAACTTTTGAAGTTGCACTCTAAGATGTTGTTTATCTATTTAACCCTTTGAGTGCTAAGTCAACTTTTCTCACCATTCACAATTATAAATGCGCATAATTTATCATCATGCTTTGATGAATACATGTAGTGAATAGTGTCACCATTCACAATTATAAATGTGCATAATTTATCATCATGCTTTGATGAATACATGTAGTGAATAGTGTCACCATTCACAATTATAAATGCACATGATTTATTCATAATTCTACCAACATTTTGATCAAGACATGTAGTGAATAGTGAATTATGTCCATTTGATTCAAAATTATCAAAAAATCATAGAAAAAAACAGGCACCAACATTTTGCTAAAAACAATTATGGAACTCAAAGAGTTACGATTAAATATGAACAGAAATGAATTCTGAATAAATTATAATTGAACACTTTAGCTCGCCAATAATGTTAATATGCTGAGAGATCACCACCTAACTTACATGATTGTCTTGTCAGTCAGATCAAGTCTTTAATTAAAAAATCAAATAACTATGACTCCGTTAGTTCAATGATTCCTAAATGCAACGATAATAGGTGACGCAATGGTGATATATGGACAAAGCGAATGCATTAAAATGTGTGACAGGTCATGCTACAGCAGTACCATACCAGGTAAATGTTGTTAACTTTCATGGAAGTTTGATGCCATTCATTGATACTGACTGCCCTGAAAAAAAAAAATATGTAAAACCGTGTATACAAATATTCACCTTGTATGTAATTATAACGCTACTCAATGTAAATATTGTAAAAGTTTATACAAAAGTAGAGCAACTTCTCATTTATCAGTTGCTGAGTTTTCATACTGGTAATTTTATGAATTAACATACCATATGTTATTTAGTGTACTGTATTTGCTCTATTACTGGTACGGTATAGCACATGTGCTTATGTAAATGACACAAGTGTGTGTATCATCAAAATAAGTTATATTTTGAGAATCCAGTGTACAATACTGGTACATTATTGCTCTATGTGTGGTTCTATTAGAGAAGTGATTCTAATAGAGAAAATATGGTAAACTGAAATACACTAAGAATGCTATGCACTTTATGTCACATCCTGTGATGTGATTTTGTCATTTACCTTGGAAGTAACACTTTCTGTTCTCATTACTTTTATCAAAAGAATCACAGCAATGTATGATGTTTTTATTTATCTTAACTCAAAGAAAAAACGCTTCTTGATGACAGCATTTTTTTTTAATCATTATATAGCAGTATATTAGTGGCTGTTTGGTTACCATGGTGATTATTGCACTACATATAGCTCATCACTCAAAACAAACTGCAGTCAACTGAAATATTCCAACTTTCAACCTTTGGCACCCTTCAAGAAATTTATTCTGGTATTATTGAAAGTACGTTATTTTCACTTGAAATTTTTACTGAAGCAATGAACCAGTGAAACTAAAATCCAGTAAAAATACCATTTTTTTCCCTATATTTTACATTCCACTCATCAAAAGCTGGAAAACAATTATACAAAACAATGAAAATTAATTCTAGCTAAAATAAAGTATTTTACAGTGGTATTGTTTCATATAATAATATAATTATTTTTTTTTGCACTTTCTACAAATTAGTAAAATCCTTTATAAGCTTAGGGTAGGTACCTTTGGTGGAGTGCAACAATAATCCATTTAAAATCATGTTCTCAAACATTGGAGTTCAAATTATAATGATGTGAACGTATGATACCACAGGATAAATTCAGATGAAAACACATGTCACATGTTTTAATTAGGAATAGATATTTTTTTATGAATTTGAAAAACAATGACTATGCATTAAAAAATTATGTTTGTATTTTAGTAATTATTAATATTTAAGATTTAAAAATGTGTACATTTTAAAATAATTTAATTAACTAATTTGCATAATTGATTGGTTTGTTTTGTGTTATTTGATGGGAATTGAAATTCATGTGAAATATTTGATATTTATAGACTGTGATTGGTTATAGTTCATGATTAGGGCAGTAGCCCGCATTGAGTGAGAGGCACTTTTGTTTGTCAGGTTTCTGTACTTGCCTCTTCAAAAAGAGTAAGAAAGTTGTAAGGTACACTAAGATGTTGTATACATTATTGTGAGTTTAAATTTTTGCAATTTGACTTGAAATTTATGTTTTCTTTTCCAGTATTATTTTTTTTAAATTTAAATAAAATGTTTATATAATGAAATGTATTTGTTTACTTTTGTAAATTTTATAAAATTTATTGAGCTGGACTTGAACTAAATTGACTTTGGGGAATTTGCTACAATATAAATGATGTCATTGCAATACCATAATATGCTAAATAATAGTACTACAGTTGTAGTGCAATTCATGTTTGAATTTTATGTAAATAGACAACATATTTCACTTATGTTGAATGCATAGCATGGGATTTATATCAAACACGGCATGATACGAATAGTACTGAGTATACATTAAGGAATTGAATTTCTAATTTTGCACTACTAAGCATAGCATATATGTGCAGTGCATCATGGGAGAGAAATTCCAGAGAAAATAACAGTTTTGCCATTCTCCTCAAACGGTTTCAGATTCGTTTTGTGAAAATTTTCTGTATTTCTATTCTTTAGAATACAGTCTAATGGTTTGAATGAATAATAATAAAAGTATGAAGATGTATTTGTAACAAATCTCTTTTGGGATGCAGCAGTAAACTATTTATGAATATATGCATAAATATTATGTTTTATAATACTGATTTGTTTAATTGTTTCCTAATATAAGTTGTTCTAATAAAGTATTGCAGCTCTTTTGTAGATATTGGGTCTTTAATATAATATATATATATATATATATATGATGGGTACTATTTTAGTCTCCGTTCAGACACTGTCTG